CCAGCTCCAGTGACTCGGCCCTCCCGGATGCTGTCTCGGCCTTGAAGCGAGTGCTGGGCCGGTCCCCCTGTGCTGTAGCCTGTGAGCAGGGGCTGGGCACAGCCACGCTGCCTGAGGATGTCATCTGTAAAGTGCACTTGAAGAGCTTCGTGGAGCAGCAGGGCTTGGTGGGCTACGACCCCAACCTGGATGTCCTTCTCGGTGAGCCTCACGTGTACAGCAGCTCTAGTGTGACAGCAGGGGGGCGAATGGCTGCAAAGAGGCCTGTTCCTTTTTTCCCCCAATTGTTTTATAGAAAACAAGAGGGTTTTAGATCCAAATTGCCTTCTCCTCTTATTCTCCTTCAGTCTGGTTTGAGCCAGAAACACAGGCAGCCTGGGGCAGACCCAATGGTGCAGGATGGCGGGGGGGTGGCGAACCCTCGTGTTCCGCTCTGAGCATCCTTCCTTCTTTCAGTGACGGAGGGGAAGCTGCGGTCCCTGGCTGAGCTGCAGCAAGCCGTTCTGCAGTGCATGGTGAGTAACACTGCGGTGCTGCCTGCCTCTCGCTTTTCAGACGTCATTCCTTTCTGTCACGTGACATCATTTGAGCTCCCTGCTGTGCTCTGCTGCAGGCTGGAGGCCAGGGGAGCTGCTGCAGCATTGTGCATGTGGTGAGCTGCGAGGAGGAATTCCAGCAGCAGCAGCTGGATCTGCTCTGGAGGATTTTGGATCCAGGAGCACACACAGCATTGCAGGTGAGGAACCTCTGACCCTCCTCACTGTGGCCCCCCAGCATCCTTATGCTCAGCCAGCCTCCTTCAATCCCTGCAACAAAGGTGGAGGCCCAGCCTTGCCCCTTGCGAGGCTTCCCTTTCCCTTGGCAGCCCCTCCACGCTCTTGCCCAGGCAGTGGAGCAGCCTCTCTGCCCTTGGGATTTCAGTGCTAAAGAAGGAAGGACACAAGATCGTGGGGATACAGCTGGAACAGGGCTGGTTTTAGCCCGGTTCTCCTGCACTGCATTTTTGTGGAGCTTCTGCATCTTTGACCCCTGCCCCAGCCTCTCCTCTCTCTTTCAGAAACACCTTGTCTGTGGGCCAGTGAAGGTGACAAACCCCTCATCGCCCATCGGGGCAGACCAGTACTTCCAGTAAGTTGGTGTGTAGCAAGGCGCCTGCTGCACTGCTCGCCTGCCAAGGCTCCCTGTGCTCTGCCCGGCCCTGTGGGCACCCAGACAGCCATACTGCAGTGCTGAGCAAGCTGGTGGCACACAGACAGTTCTGTACAGTCCCTCCATTCTGCTTTTCCACGGCCTCAGGGCTGTTTCGAGAGGACTGGAGGTGCAGAGCGGTGGCCACAGTGCCCTCCCCAGTCCCAGTGGCCTCCTCCAGCAGTGCTACTTCTGGCCCTCTCTCAGTGCTGCTGGGAGGAAAAGCAGCGGCAGGAGCTGGGTGCTGCAGCGGTGCAGGGTGGTATCTCCCTGCCTTCACACAGTAGCAGATAGCCCTGGTGCAGGGGCAGCCCTTTCTCAGCCAAAAGGCAGAGCTTGTGCCCGGTGCAGTGGCTTCCTCGCACCCTCTCCAGGCAGCGGCACA